CTTGTTCAGGCGGTCATCAAGGTCACTGTGACACTTCCGCCATTGGCGTCCAGCGCCTCTGCGTCGACGGCCCGGCACAAATTTAATTACTGAATCTACCTTCAGCCATCATACCTTTCCTAAGGAATCTACCTTAAGGTATCATTCGGGTTTGGGGAGTTTGAAAAACGCAGTTATGCTGAAATTGGGTTACGATAGTGTGCTTCTGTAGTCACAGGAGGCAGCGGCATCGCTAAGTGGGCTTCTAGACTTCTGGTGCGTGAGCAGGCTCCATTTTCGGTTTAGGCCCTAGAGTCTTAGAGTCTACAGCATGACACAAGATCACACCATCTACCCCTATAGGCTTCTAGCTACTAACCATATAATACGGTTGATGATATAAATCCTGTCTTACCCAAAATGAGGAATATACCATAATTCCCATAGTTTAGGGTCCTTAGAATAATGCAGGATTTATATCATCAACCGTAACCACATAATATCTAACCCAGTAACCCACGATTTAAGTGACTAGAGCCCCAGTGTTGATAATGAGGTACATCCTGCTTTACCCATAGTAAGGAATATAGAAAATACCACAATCCCCATCGTTTAGGGTCATTCTGCTGATGGACAAAATCCTGCACTTCCCATTATTATAAGGAATATACCATAGTTCCCATAGTTTAGAGTCCTTTGGGTCATGCAGGATTTTGTCCATCAGCAGTTGTGGTAATGCAGGATTTATATCATCAACCGTAGGGCATCCTGAACCTCAAGGATTGCAAATCTGGCGCCCCAGCGATTCTAGGCATCTGTTCTCAATGGTGAACCAGGACCTTTCAAGGGCCCTTTAATAGAGAACTTATGGCCCTTAATAGTGGGTGTTTGGGGCATATTCGAGGGTAGTTGGGGGGTCTAGGAAGGCACCATGCGAAAGAAAGCTGAAAGGCGTGTGGTTCCGGGAGCTCTGGGTTCAATATGGAATCCTGAGTAGTAGATATTTACCAAGAATTCCAAAATTATGATCTCATATCCTAGGTACTTGTCCTGAGCCATCGATTCGTGAGCCAATATGAGGGCCCAAATAATTATCACTACAGAGTTTTGGGTTTTTTTGTAGGGTTTAGAGTTTGTGTTTGGCGGTTCCTGATTATCAATATAGTATAATGCACACCAAAACCCTTTTCTAATTATTAAGACGCCTACATTCTAGAACCCTACTATCCCTTAAAGGATACCCCAAAAAACGCTATGTTTCCGAAAATCAGGGGTACCTTATTTTGGGGGTCCTTACAATAAGGATCCTACTACTTAGGGTACTATATTAAGGTCCCCCTATTTTCGGAAACTCCCAGATGAGTAAGGCGCCCAGAGTAGCCTTCAAGCCAGGCGCCAGAAGCCCCCAAGTCCTACCCATAGTCTCCATTGTAGTTCCTTTTTTTGGTTAACCAAAATCTTTATTATAGGATCAGAACCATAAAACTGGTTGACCAAAAAAAGGAACTACATGGAGACTGTAGGTGCAGTGTACGGTTTCCCGACGTAGATTCAGGGAGTTCGGTTTTTCTTAGAGACTCCCAGATCCCTTAATTAAGGAATATACAGCTCAACTTGCAGTACCACCCTCATCTCTTCATTAAGGAATATATAGCTCAACTTACAGTAGGACCCTCAATATGGTTGGCGGATTCAGGGAGTTCGGTTTCCCAGAGACTCCCTGGGCATTCAGGGGGCTCAGGAGTCCCTCAACCCTAAACCCTGAAACCTGAACCCTAAAACCTGAACCCAAACCCTGAACCCTAAGGCCTAAAGCCTAAACCCTAAATCCTAAATCCTAAACCCTAAATCCTAAATCCTAGACCCTAAATCCTAAACCCTGAACCTAAACCCTAAACCCCAAAGCCTAAGTCCTAGGATGGATCGGGGCTTGGGGCGTTCGTTGGACTGCCCGGATCGGGGGGGATCCTCTGCTTCAAACATTTCGACCTTCCGGCCCTACACCCTGCAACCCTATAGGGCTTGGGGTTTGGGGTTTAGGGCTTAGGCTTGGGGTTTGGGGGTTAGGGCTTAGGCTTGGGGTTTGGGGTTTAGGCTTGGGGTTTGGGGTTTAGGGCTTAGGCTTGGGGTTTGGGGGTTAGGGCTTAGGCTTGGGGTTTGGGGTTTAGGCTTGGGGTTTGGGGTTTAGGGCTTAGGCTTGGGGTTTGGGGGTTAGGGCTTAGGCTTGGGATTTGGGGTTTAGGCTTGGGGTTTGGGGTTTAGGGCTTGGGGTTTAAGGTGTAGGGCTTACTTAGGGTTTGGGGTTTAGGGTTTAGGGTTCAGAGCTTAGGGGTTGGGCCTTTGAGCTTTGGGTTTAGGACTTTGAATCGTGGGATTAAGTTTGGGGTTTGGGGTCTTGAGTTTTGAGTTTTTTCAGTCTAGGGCCTACAGCATCATTGGTGCAGCCCGAGCTTGAAGGAACCCTTTAGCCAATACTATAGAAGCCTAAATAATTGCCAATACTGTTGTGGGGGTTCTTGATTATAGTTATAGTAGAATAGGCCCCAAAACCCTATTCTATTTTCCAAGCCCCCTATATTCGCGTAAATCCCCAGGTCTGCCGGAGGCATGGCAAGGTGCTAGCCACCACCAGCGTTTCAGACATTTCGGGTGCGGAGTAACGGAGTTGTATAAGGAGACTTACTAATTGGATAGACTTTACCCTAAACCCCTAAACCCTAAACCCCTAAACCCTAAACCCTAAACCGTATGTTATACAAGAACAAAGAACTACGAAGACACACTCGGGAGTGGGTATTCATTGACGGCTGCGGCCTTCGGGGGTTTTAGGGCTTACGGTTGATGATATAAACCCTACTGCACTACCCATAATAAGGAATATACCATAATTCCCATAGTTTAGGGCCCTGAAGGTAATGCAGGATTTATATCATCAACCGTAGGGGTTTGGGTTTAGGGCTCACAGCAGCTTGCCATCTTCTTGCTTGGGGCTGTTTCCTCCGTCGTCTCTCTGCACAATCGTGTTTCCCGGAATAGGGGACCCTAATTCAGTACCCTAATTAGTAGGATCCTGATTATAAGGACCCCAGATAAGGTACCCCTAATTTTCGGAAACTCCCATATAAGAGTTGCTGTATTTTTGTCGGAATGTTTGACACGTGGGAGTGTGGGGCTCGACGGGTAACTACAGCTTCAGGGTTGAGGCTGGTTTAAGGTTTGGATAGCAGGGTGTACCTAGCGCCCGCAGTCTGGAAGTTTTGGGGGGGTACTTTATACTATAATCATAACAAGAACCCCCCCCGCAATAGTATTGGTAACTTTTTAGGCCCCTATAGTAGGGCCTGGAGTCTGGGGGGGTTTGGGGACACTTGAAAGGTCTTCGATGGGGACCCCTACCCTATAAGGGGCTATATAATGGGTATATAATAGCTATATTAAGGGTATATACCTAGGGGTCCTTATTAAAGGTCTTCGGGGTGTTCAGCTTCGGCAGGGCGGTGCTTTCTTATTGCTTGGCATCTCGGATCAGAGGTTCATAGAACTGGAGCATCCGGAGCCCTACGGTTGATGATACAAATCCTAGGTTTCTTTTTTAAAGGGATCTGTAAGGGTACCTTTATGGGGCTCCTTTAAGGGATCTATAGGGGGTTTAGGGTTTAGGGTTGATGATAAAAATCCTGCACTACCTTAAGGACCCTGGACTATGGGAATTATGGTATATTAAGGACCCTAGACTATGGGCATTGTGGTTTATTCCTTACTACGGGTAATGCAGGATTTATCTCATCAACCGTAACCCCGACGCCGTGCATCCTACCACTCACGAAGTCTACCGGATCTCAGGTTGCTTTGGGTTTTTGATTAAGTAGGGTACAGTCCTTACCCATAGGCCCCATAGTAGTTCCTTCTTGGGATTCATACATAGAATTCTATAAGGTAATCCCAAACAGGAACTACTTTGGGGCCCTAGGGTAGGGCTGTTGAGTTTGGGATTTAGGACTTAGGTTTGAGTGGTTGACGTCCTTGCAAGCAGACTAACTCCAGACTGTTTGTGTGTTGTCAAGCCGCCACCGAAATAGAGGTCGGATAGTGGAGCATCTGATGCACCTTCAAGAAGTAATAGAGTGAGAAAGCAGTATGATCCTGAAGTAGGACCCACGCCAGGCTTTGTGATCTTACCTGGTTTACTCGAGTACTTCAGTTTTTGAAGTGTAAGGTTGTACAGAAAACCTATAATCCGGGACCCTCAAACCCAAAACCTGAAGCTATGCAGGGCTTCAGGTTTTGGGTTTCAGGCTCTATGGTGATAGGTTTTAGAGACTCAGGCAGCAGACGCTCGCGCCGTCTGTCTCAAAAGCGGGCCATAGAAATTCAGTGCAGCCCTTGCCCAACAAAGCACATCCCGCGAATACAACTAGAAACATAGAAACCTCGGAATTGCTAATGCTATTCCGGTTCCTGAGTATACTTACAAGTATTTACAGTACAATATACCACCCAAAGACATGTTTGATGATAATTCAGGGCCCCATGTCATAGAACACCTATCATGGTACCTCTGGTCGTAACCCATGCATCGCAGGGACCCTTAGCGGTAAGGGGGAGCGGGGTAGGAAATTATACTTCCTTAAGTAGGTCTTATGACCCCCCCCTACCCCCTAGACCCTAGACCCTACCTGTATCCCTAAACCCTACAAAATAGTGGGTTATGACCCCATAATTATTGGGTCTGACCCTTAAAACCGTAGGTTTTTGGATCCCCAGGTAAGCATGTCTGGTAGGGCTCCTAACCTGCAGCCCTATCGCTCCAAACTCCCAGGAGTGGCTTAGACTTTGCCTTAGCCACAACCCAAGAACCCGCAAAGGCTACAGTTGATGGCCCCCAAACACCGAAGCACTCTGCATCCTAATTTCTTTTTCACTCAAAACCCTGCACCCATAAGCCCTGAAGCCCTGAATCTTACTAAACCCTAAACCGAGAGCCTCAAATTCATGTGCACGGAGCGATCTAGCTACTTGCGATGGCGAGTGTGGGAGTGGAGGCCAGGGTCGTGGGAGCAGAAGCTGTTCTTTTGCAAGGCCCCAAAGCCCAAAAGGTTCAAGAATTGGGGGGGACCTAAGGGCCTAAATAATTACCTATACTCTGCTGATATTCCCTTAGTACAGTTATAGTGCAGTTATAATATAAGGTATTCAACTGTCGAACACATACCGTCCGTACAGCAGCAGTACTCATCAAGGCAGTTCAGCAGAGAGCGTGACTGGCAAGCACAGCCAGCACCGCAGCCATGATTTAGCTACATCGCAGACAAGAAACGAATGGTGCAGCTAAGAAGCGTCGAGCAATTCGAGCGCAGCAGAACTATGCGTCTTTGTATAAGTACGTACGACTACTTCCACCACCACTCGCGATCCTGGAAAACGTTAGCCAATATTTCCATCCTACTTATAGAGTTGTGACAAACTCCACTATGTCACGGATCACATCGCGTGCCTCGAACCCCGAACCCTAAACTCTTCACACCGTCGTTCGGCCTTTGTAACAGGCTACGAATGTCTCGTACGCGGGCCTTGGAGGAAGCCTGCAAACGGAGCTTCTGCATTTGCAGGCCCGGGTTGTCTCTGTGGAGAGGGGGCTATATAGGAGCCTCAATAAGTACCAATACTACTTTGGGGGTTCCTTACTATCATTTTATAATATTCCCCAAAACCCAAGTCTATCTTGGGGGTTCCTTATTATGACTATAGTTTCATGGGCTGTGCACTGGTGTTAAATTAGATTTGTTAAAGGGGTATGTAAGTTTGTACATTCGCTTTATGCAGGGCTTATGGTTTGTATACCTTAGGTGCCAGGTTTGACCCCGTAGACGGGTGTAGGGTTTACCGATTTCTTACATGAAAACCTGGCCATACTGTGGATGTAAAACGGGGACCATTAAGGTAAAAGCCAGAAAGTTGGAATATGTTTATTCTAAACCCTTGATGGTAAATTATGGGGTATCCTACCCTGAAACCATATTCCAACTTTCTGGAGTTCCCTTTATTTGCAGAGTCGTCGCCGAAGACTCGTGGATCCTATACCTCACACTCTGGATCCTCCATGCTGAAACCTCTTTCACCCTACCCGGACCCCCAAAGTATGTAGAATAATAGCCTTTTTTAGGTATTGGGCCAGGGCTATTATTTTACCTACTTTTGGGGGTTTAGGTAAACATTAAGAAGGTGAGTATCAGCTTCCAGTGGTGGACCCGGCCTTTGAACCCTTCGGGTCCAATGTGCGTGATAAGTGGTTGCCTGGCTTTGGGGCTTTTTTGAATACGTCGTGTTTCGGAAAGTATACCTAGGCATAACTAACCAAACACTTTGTGAATTAGTAAAATCCGTGATAAACTAATGGATCAAGCAGTCCATTAATTGCTTACTTATTAACAACATAATGAAGGAATTAGTTTCACGCCTGATTCAATTAATTGACGGCTTGGTTAGCTAGCAATTTCAATCCGTAGCAAGTCAGCTGACGACTTCATTAACCAGTCAACTGGTCAACCGATTAAGTAGTTATCGCAGTTATCGAATCAATAATAGGTCAGTCAGTCGTTCATTCATTCAATCAGTCAGTCAGTCCGTCAGCCAGTCAACGTATGTTTTTTCCGCGCACACACACACACAATATCCGGGCGTTTGGAACCGTAAAGGCCTGAACACCAAGCCCTGAACACCCGCGTTGCCACAGGATGTCGAGGATGTCCTTGCCATGGCAGAGGAACTGGCAGCTCGATTGATAGTAACACCCCGTTCGGTTCTAGTCTGTCGAAGGGGAAAAGGAGGGACCCTTAATGGGGACCCATACCCTATGATGGGTTATATTATAATGGGTATATAATAGCTATATTAAGTATGCTTACCCATAGGCTCCATGGTAGTTCCTTGTTGGGATTATAATTATAGGATTCTAAATAGGAGCCCCCAAAAGGAGCTACTATGGAGCCTCTAGGTAGTTAGGACTTTCCGGTGTGTCTTAGTGCTCGTTTAATAAAGGGTCTTTACCTTGTTCGCAAGCTGTTTTCGTTTCGTTTTCTCGACAAAAACAGGCCGTGCACGACCCTTCCGCAAGCCCAGCCTTCGTCGGATGTGGCCAAGAGGTTCGGATTCCAGAGCCATCTCTGAGGCTTGCAACTGCACCAACTATCGTGCATCTGTGAACAGCGTCATGTCCAAGCAGCTGAGTGTCTGGAAGACGCAGCAACGGTGCAGGTGATGTCAGTGAGGATGGATCCAGGTGTCTGCCGCAACACAGGCACAGCCCTGAAACCTAAACCCTAAACCGGGCAGGGCACTATATAGGAACCTATTTGTAGACTTCCTGCCCCAAGAGTACGTACAGTACCTATAGTCTCCATTTTAGTTCCTTTTTTTGGTTAACCAAAATCTCCATTATAGGATCCTAACCACAAAACTGGTTAACCAAAAAAAGGAACTACAATGGAGACTGTAGGTATTATTTGTATAGTTGGAGTCTTGGGGCTTGGCACATTCTGGCAGGCGGCATCTCGAGTTTGCGTCAGGGTTCGGGGAGAGTTCGGGGCGCAGAGCGTCCCCAAGTCCGACTTAAATCCAGGGTCCTGGCGGAGTCAGGGTTTAGGGGTGGTGCACGGTTTAGGGTTTTAGGATCTTGTTGGGTATACCGTAAACCCTAAACCCTAAACCGTGACAGCGCTGAAAGCATCAGGGCCTCAACACCCGTGACTCCACACCCCTGTCTACAAGGAAGATACGATTCCTGCCGCTGGGATCCGTTTTTCTTCGCAGCCATAGATTTACCTGGACCCTAAGGAACCTACCTTTTTTAGGGTTCCCTAAGATGATTTCTTTATATAAGTCCTTAAAAAGGTAGGTTACGTGGGGTTAAGGTAGGGTTTAGGGTGGCCCTAGACCATCCCACACTTCATGGTGGCTTCGCCCTTGTCATGGTACCCAGAGCCTCCAAAACCCCTTAATTAAGGAATATACCTTAAATACTCCTTAAATCATAATAGGATCCCTAATATAGTTTAAGGTATATTCCTTAATTAAGGGGTTTTGGAGGCTCTGGGTACCTGGTTCAGGATCCGCTCACAAAGGGTAAAACCTGCATGGGGCTCCTGGGGTTGGAGTTCAGCCCCAGGCCCCGCCAACACCTGAAATACGAACCCCAAAACTCCAATAACCCTTAATTAGGGTTGAAGAGCCCAGACCTTCCAAAATCCCTTAATTAAGGAATATACCTTAAATTATAGTAGGATCCCTAATATGATTTCAGAAATGTTCCCTAATCAAGGGGTATTGGAGTCTCTGGGAACAATTCCCCACACCCCAGGCCAGTCAGCATCGGGCATGGCAGTTGCAGAAACAGGCCGGTGTCAGCCCTGTGTCAGCCCTTTCTGCGCTACCAGGACAACATAGTAGTAGTAGTCGTCGTCGTCGTACCTAGTCGTAGTCGTAGTCGTAGTCGTAGTCGTAGTAGTAGTGGTAGTAGTGGTAGTGGTAGTAGTAGTAGCAGTAGTAGCAGTAGTAGTAGGAGTAGTAGGAGTAGTAGTAGTAGCAGCAGTAGTAGCAAGGAGCAGGAGCAGTAGCAGCAGCAGCAGCAGCAGCACCAGTGGCAGTGGCAGTGGCAGGAGCAGCAGCAGCAGCAGCAGTGGCAGTGGTAGAGTAGTAACCATGCAGCAACAACAATCAAGATGATCGTATTAAACATGGTGGTATATACTCAAACTATCAGTAGTCATCGAAGTAATGGGGAGTTTGAGGAGGTTCGGCTGCACGCAGAAGCTTCACCGACCCGATTGATCAAGCGGGGAGTTCTGTTAAATAATAGGTCCCTTTCCGGGGGCTCCTACCGCAAGAAGACGTACTTGGACCAGAATAAAGAGACCCGAACTTCAACCCCCAAAGGGACCCTGACTTCAACCCTGACTTCAACCCCCCAAAGGGACCCTAACTTCAACCCCCCTAAAACCCTCCGGATCCATGTGTGTAAATATGGGCTACGTGGCTATGTTCTTCTGTCAGGTGTGCGCGGGGCATGACCACGATTTTTGTAGTCATTTACGTTAAGAGGAACTTTTATGGTAAGTATACATATATACATATAGTATATAAGAAGTATTAATATAGTATAAATATAGTATATATATATATGTCGTATAAATAGTATATATATATATAGTATAAATAAGTATATATATATATATATAGCTGTATATATATATATATATATAGTACAGTATATATATATATATATATATATATAGTATAAATACAGTCTAAATATAGCATAAGTATAGTATAAATATAGTATAAATATAGTATGAATATAGTATAATATAGTATAAATATAGTATGAATATAGTATAAATATAGTATAAATATAGTATAAGGATAGTATGAATATAGTATAAATACAGTATAAATTATAGCTATATGTGGCCATAAATATATTATGGCTGGTATAAAGTATGTCCCAAACCTCGAACTCAGAACCTCCGCCTTAAATAATATATATCCTCGACAGGAATCGCCACCGCCGGCCAAAGCCTTCAGCTGGATCAGACAGTGTCTGCAGAGGGCTCATATAAATAAATAATATATATATATATATATATATATTATATATCTCTCCTACACTAGGCACCTACACGTATATATATATATATATATATATACATGGTTATATATATACACACATATATATATATAGTACTGCTGGGATCGCACAGCAGTCGAAGCCAGATCGTGTGAGGGTACTCAACTATACATACCATTAGGATCTAAAATCCCCGGGGTTAGGTGACCTCCAACGGATCCCCGAGGCCTTGGACCCTCAACCCATGCATATATAATAATTGTACGTGTACCGTACATGCAGTAGATATATTCATATACATATATATTCTTGGAACCTACCCCTGGCCTGTGTGCCCCATGGCCTGGCTGATTCGATCATGCAAGGCTCGACCATGCAGAACACTATAAACGCATACGTCAATATTTCTATATGCATGTGGAGGCCCAGCATGCGTCGTGCTCTGGCGGCGGCCGATTTCGGCGATGAGTCTGCAAATCCGTCGTCCTCGTCTTCGAGCACCCCAAATTTACATGCTGCATATACTTATTCGTCTGCAGGCCAGATTTCGGTAGAAGTGTACTTGAATTGAGATATATGCTGCAGCATGCACACAGCATGACGAGGTGACCATATTGGTGATGTTATCGACGAAAGTGGGTGGAACAGTGCGACTGGCCTCCCGCATCCGCCCGAGTGGGCGAAGCTTCCCGGTGCTCCCCGCTCTGCTGCTGCATGCTGCATGCACGTAAACTATATATGTACTGTGCACGTGTGTATGTATGTGCTGCCAGCAGCATTTTGCTGCTTACTTGGGCCTCCTCCTGACGATATCGATATCGGTCTTCCCGCTACAAAGCTGCATTAGTTTGTTCATGCTTCGAGCTTAGATCCTGTACAAGCAAATGTACATGTACTATATACTGAAGGCCCCTTGCAACCGGAATGGATGATCTCAAGCTGGAGCAGAAGCTGGTTCTCGAGGCCATGAGGGATTCTTAAATTTAAAGCTATAGCAATATAATAATATATATATATATATATATACCCGGCCGTGTCAGGACTTTTTGAACGACTGGTTGCTGTCGGACCCGTCCTTCTTGCCCAACCTACGAAAGCGCCCGGACCGACTGGCTGTACTCTGTGGGGTTAGGGCTTGGGATTCGTGGGTTATGCTGCTGACTGCACAGGACATACTGCCTATCCCACCTGCTGGGGCGGATTCTGTGGAGATGGTGCTTGGCAGTACATGCATGCCTTAATGTCCATATACTTATATATGTACTGCCAGGTGGAAAGACATTACGAATTCCTCTGCGGATATTATTCTTCCTTCCAGTGTCTGGTGCCCCTTCACAGCACCCACAAGGACAGGGTAAGGTGAAGGATAATCGGATAATGCATGAAGGTTTTAGCTCCAGCTGCTGCAGGAAGTGCTGCTGCTGATGGCAAGCAGGTATGCTTTGTTCCCTGTGTCGATGCGGAAGAAAAAGCTCAATGAACTTCGGCTGCAATATATATTATATACATTCGAACATTTGGCCTACGCATGGTCTTTGAGCATTATAGCTAAGGCTTGGGCATCCGTACAGTCGGGGATTATCCGGTCTGCTGCTGTGCATGGGCTTCTTCTAGCTCGGCGAGCTACTACATCAAAGTGCGAACCTCAGTTTTACTGCATATATTCATACGCATACATATGCTTAGAAATACTTCCCCAAGTGCAAGGTCGCTCCGGGTGCAAATGCTGAAGGACCTCATTCGCGGTTGCACGAAAGGCTGCTTTGCTGATATTTTGCAAATCCCCAATCATATCATATATATATTAGCAAACCCTAATTCATCACTAGTCGTTCAAACCGTACACATGATCTGCATGTTCACATTACGCCGGCCCTAAACCCCTCATCCTCAACCTCAGGGCTTAGCACTTAGCTGTTTCAGGCTTGGGGCTAAGGGTCCTATGTATGTCCTGCATAGCATCAATCCCGATCTAAGGTGAGCGAGCAGATGTTGATGAGGTTATCGATGCCAAGCTCATGCAAGCTGAAGCTATGCAGAATTTTGATGCTTGGGCCAGCATTAATTATATCTATTGTCGAGGGCCTGCATGACAACTATGCACTACGCTACGACATTTCAGGAGCCGGATGAACTGGAGAGTGATCCTGGATCCTTCAGTTCGAATGCTTCCACTGAATCTTAACTGCATGTATATTGACAGCGATATTCGAGTCTGGATGCAGCTCACAACATCACGAAACCTGAGGTGCATCTAAATTCCGGGTCTCGGGTGTACATGATATCGCACCCTGTAGATAAAGCTCCTCTAAACCCTCAACCCCAAAACCCTAAACCCAAAACCTTAAACCCTAAACCCCAAAACCCTAAACCCAAAACCTTAAACCCTAAACCCCAAAACCTTAAACCCACAACCTTAAACCCTAAACCCCTAAACCCTAAACCCAAAAATTAAGCTTGAACCCTAAACCCCAAAACCTTAAACCCTAAACCCCAAAACCCTAAACCCCAAAACCCTAAACCCACAACCTTAAACCCTAAACCCCTTAACCCTAAACCCAAAACCTTAAACCCCAAACCCCTACATCCTAAGCCCTAAATGCATGTGGGCATTTCACATGGACCAGCAGTGCCAGGAAGAGCTGCCCGGGACGCCGGGAAAGGATGCCTCCTGGAAGAGTTACGAGGATCGTTGCAAGGCTACTCGAAGCACTATGGGCTAAAGTGTATAATTATATATACATATATATATATATATATATGTATATGCCACATGATACGGACCCTGGGCCCTTTGGTGGTACAGCTAAGTCAACGATCCTCGACATTTCGGCTATGGATACCCAAGTCGATGCAGAGATTGAAAAGGGTATCACGGAGGACTACAGTCACGATCATGCAGCATGCCCGACCCCGAGTAGGTGTACACACCTGTGCATGTGCATGTGGCAGGATCGACAGCCCTTGTTCAAGGTCCCTGTGGATCTGGGGCCATGCAAAGAGGTGCTGGCCGAGTATGCAGGAGACTTGGAGCTTGACGAGATGTCATCGGCCGTGGCCGAGCAGCTCGAGGCGCATGTTATCCACACAATATACTCTAAAACCTCAACCCCTAAAACCTAAATACTTATTATAATATGTGTATATATATATATATCTACATACATATATATATATATATATATATTCGCTGTGACTAAACTCCAGAACCCCATAAAATTCACAACCCCAGAATCCCGAAATCTCACCCTTAACCCCGATATCAGGTGCAAGCAGCAACACGATTGGCGACTGCCCAAAAAAAGGTGGATAAGACTGCGACGAAGCAGGCGACCAAGGCTAGGGGCCGTGGTCGGGGCCGGGGCGGCCGTGGGAGAAAAGCGGCTGTGCTGAAAGATGATGAGGATGAGCCGGGCACGGAGCCGGAGGAGGAGAAGGCGGCCCCGAAGGCCAAGGCCAAAGGCAAGGCAAAAGCCCAAGGGAAGCCCACGGCAAAAGATGAGCACGAGGACGATGAGGAAGCGGAGGACTCGGAGCCAGTCCCGAAGGCCAAGGCCAAAGGCAAGGCAAAAGCCAAAGGAAAGCCTACGGCAAAAGATGAGCACGAGGATGAGGAAGCGGAGGAGGACTCGGAGCCAGGCCCGAAGGCAAAGGCCAAAAGCAAGGCAAAAGCCAAAGGAAAGCCCACGGCAAAAGATGAGCACGAGGACGAGGATATGCCGCAGGCACCTCTGAAGTACGACTGGGGTGCGAAGGTCGGGCCTATTTGT